CGCTTCAGACAGTTGGATTTATTCACTCTGGACTTTCCTCTACAATGCTTAATGTAGACAGACCAACGCCTAATATCACAAGAATCAATAGACAAGAACCAATAATCATTAGTCATTCTATTGAACACTTTGGAGAAACAGTTCTTCCGGCTATGGTTTCTGCTTGGATTGCAACTGATATTGTCAAAAGTGTCTTTGATATTTTAAACGCACCATCACCTACTGATGAAGAGGAAGAAGATTTCCCCTGGATGAGAGGTTATTTTAAAAAGCAAAGAGTATCTAAATAAGAAATCCCCTTCAGCTGCCTCAACAATCATCCAACATAAAAAAAAATTGTCACTTTTTTAAAAAAGTACAACAAAAAATAACAAGAAAATTAAATTTGTTATATTTCTAAATAAAAAATATTATAAAATAAAAAATAATATGAAGACATCAATAAGACGGAATAATAGTTCTAAAGTCAATAATTTTATTTATGAATTTAAATAAATTGATGGGGTATTTATAAGAATTGTTAAAGAAATCTGAGATAAGATGTGAATCAGAAAAAATGTTAGTTACGATTTAATAAGACACGTTAAAGATAATGAAATATTAGAAATTTTAATATTGTTTGATGGAACGAATCAAGAGAGTTTCAGGAGAATTTAGATAGAATTCCCTGACTAAATTTATGATCCGCATGTTTAATCATGAAACATGACATTATAAGTTAGCTCATGACACACTGCAATGGACGCTTCTGGAACTTACATGGTTAAGGGTATGATATTTTTAAGGGGCATGGACTATGTAAGAAAATTGCAATTCTTCAACAAGACAATGATCCGAAGAATACATCTAAATACACAACAAATTGGTTCAAGAAAAATAAAATAAATGTCCTTAAATGACCATGATACCCATCTGATTTAAATTCAATTGAAAACTTTTGGTTTTATTTGAAGTACAAGCTTGCTGCCTATAATAGAACACCAAAAAACATGGATGAGTTACGGGAGCGAGTTACTGATGTTTGGTACAATGAAGTTACAGCAGAACTATGCTTAAAACACATAGAAAGCATGCCACGACGTGTAAAAGCAGTAATAAACATTAAGGGTATATTATTTATTTCATTTCTCAAAAAAAATTATTCGCATAAAATTTATATATATGTAACTTTTGACATGATTTTTAAAGTAGAAACATCATATAGTGCATATATGCTATAAGTATCATAAAAAAGAGGAGACTTCTGTCTTTCTGCTAGTATATGCTATATAGTACTTTACTTAATAAATAGACGATTTATTATTACGGATTTGATTAAATTATCTAAAATTCTGGAACATTGCCACACTTTTGTGAGTTACTGTAAATTATTTTCCTTAAATACAGATATTTCTTCTCCTTTTTACAACTTACATTGTATTAGCATCCAATTAAAAATCTTATTGTTGATGAATGGTTTTATGATTATTATCCTAATCAACAACAACAATAAAAAAAAGAAAAAAAATATCAATTCTAGAATAGTTGAGGCGCTGTAGTGAGACACTGTAGTGACACACTACAATACCTTTTATGTACAAATAAATTGAAGAACAGCAGACACATTTATAATCGCCGACAATACACAAAAGGAAATAAAGCATATAGAAACAGTTGTATATAGAAGAAACTTCAAAATGAAACGAATTTAAGCAATATATTAATAAGCAAACAAAATGCAATACATACCATAGCACATACATCTAAGAAACCATTGGAAAAATATTCCTAAAAAGGAAACCGCGGAGTTTACAAAAATCACATTTCGCGCTCCGCCCCAAATTTAACTTAATATAGAAGGAAGGAAAGAATGAATGAATGAATGAATGAAGGAAGGAAGGAAGGAAGGAAGGTAGAAGAAGAAGAAGAAGAAGGAAGAGAGAAAAATAAAATAAAATAAAATAAAATAAAACTAAAATAAGACAAAATAGAATAAGATTGCAAAGGACAGGTTAAAATAGAGGAATAGAGCTTACTATATTGTATTATGTTGTATTATGTTGTATTATGTTGTATTGTATTGTATTATATTGTATTGTATTATATTATATTATATTATATTATATTATATTGTATTGTATTGTATTGTATTGTATTATATTATGTTATGATATGATACGTTATATTATGATATTTTATGTTATCTTAGAGCATATATATACTATATGAACAATGAACAATTATTAATATTAGACTAAATTAATATTATGAATGATAGAAAAAAGATGATGCAAGTTTATTATTGCCAGCACCAAATATTATATGGTGTATAATACAATTAATTATGCTTAGATATGTAATATAACAGTTTAGTTAAAATACAAGTAATAATAATAATAATGATAATAGTGGTAGTGGTAGTGGTAGTGGTAGTGTTAGAAAAAAAAAAAAA